AGATCTAAATCCAAAGCCTCTATTCACATATGTCTTTCTTCGTTCTTAGATGTAATCCTGCTAAGAGTGTCATCAAGATTAGAATTTCTTATGCGGGTTCTCTTTAACCTATCACTAAAACCAGAAACAACATCACGCAAATGAGTTAATTCAGTATCAAAACGAGAAGCACGAATATCAAGAGATTTAAGAATAAAGTGTACCTTATCAATTACCTTTTCGCACTCTGTAACATGCTCCTTCACCGTCTTCATGGAAAAACATGCATCTGAAATTGTTCCTTCATCTGTGAAGTAGCATTGATTTTCTGAACTGACACTTTTGACCATGAAACGCCTGCATCCACTACTCTTCTTCTCGTCCTTTACCATCAAGCAATCTCCATGAGTTGGTTTGCGAACTTCATCGTCTTTCGAGTATGTTGTCTTCAGTCACCACCAAAGCTGGTTTGCTAGAATTCTTGCGAAGCTCTTCAATTTTCTTCACGTAATAAGCTTCATCTTTTTCTTTTTCCTTCTTCTCATTCTTCTTTTGTAACATGCATTCCTTTGCAAAATGATTCTTTCCATGACAATAGTTGCAGTCAAATCTTGAGTCACCAAGTAACTTATTCTCCTTCTTTTCATCATCTCTTTGAAAGTTTTTGAAACTTTCACTTCTGGATTTTTCAGAGTTTGAGTTTCCTTACTTGTAATTGTTTCCAACAAATTTGTTTTTGTTGTTGTTTTTGAAATGAGAGAAATTATTTTTAAAGAATTTATTTGGATTGGTTACCATCAGAACTTTGTCTTCTTTTGTAAGTTCCTCATTTGAGATATCATATTGAGAATTTTCCACCACAGTCTTTGTCTTATTTTGCTTTGAACTTTCACTTTTTGTCACCAAGGCCAATGAACAAACACTTGTAACCAACTTTGCGTCATTCATCACTTCATCTTCATGAGATTTCAGTATACCAACAGTTTGTGAAAGAGAGTAATTATTGAATTGTTCGTGAGCTTTAACAATAGAAACAACTGACTTTCATTATGACCTCAAACTATTCATGAATCTAACCTTTTTTTCTATAACTTCTCTCTTCAAATTGTGTTTTAGCATACGAATTGAAAGATGATTAAATTGATTGACAGTTTGTTCAATAGTTTCATCGGAATTTTGCTCAAAAGATCCGAATTTAGACAAAATTGACGTTTGCAGAGAATGAGTGAGATAAGCATCTCCAGAATATAATTCGTTCAATCTGTCCCATATCTCTTTTGCAGTCCGATAATAACTGACCAAACAAAAAGTGTCAGGAGGAAGAGAAAACGTTATGATTCTCAATGCTTTCAGATTGCACATCAATTTGTCTTTCTCCACATAATCAATTTTAGTGTCATCAGCAACAATGATGTCAAAATCTAATTGAGTTCTGACCTCAGTCTTCGTTTTGGAATACTTGTGCGTTTCTTTTGTGATTGCTTGCCAGATGCAAGATCCATGAGTTTTAATCCTTAGAACATAATCTTCAAAGTGAATAACCCAAACTTTATAGTCTCCAGGAAACAAAATAGGAATTCTCGATGTGAAACCAATACTGCTTGGAAGATTGAACATGATTAAGTGTGAATCCTCTTTTGACATTTTGAACGAAATGAAACGAGAATCAGATCAATGAACTTGAAAAAAGAGTTTTTAGAATCAAATCGAAAGATTCAAACAAGGAATTAAACATCAACTTGCAAACCGATTTTCAAAATGCGGAACATATCTAGAATTCGATGAACAGATTTGGAAAACACGATGAACAACGACAACATCAAGATCTGAAAAACTCAAATGATCTACCGCTCTGATACCAATTGAGGTAATAATTAGATTCACGATTCAAACATTAATGAGATTCACAAGAAAACGCGAGGTAAATAAAAATTCACTTTGATTAATGAGTTAGCAAGAACAATTCGATACAAAAGTAAAGAACTATTATATCCCCAAAAACTCTAACCCATTCTTCTAACTAATGTTCCTTTATATAGGCTGCACAGGAACATCAGAAAGGCATCTCAAGTCAACAGATAAACTACGAACTTAAGGGAAACAAAAATGTGCGAAATCGCAACATAAAGAACTCACACAAAGTAAAGACCTTGTCACAACAAAACATGGGAACTCGCACATTACAAATTGACACAACAAATATTACGAACTCTACACTTACAAAGTTCCCAGTGAAAAGTCGAAAAGTTCGCAGGAAGAACTTCGACTCTGAACACTTCTTTTTGTCGGGCCTTCTGATGTTCCAAAGCTTCGCTACTAACACTTAAAAACTTCTAAAGTTGGGCCTCGGGTTGCGGGAAAAAATTTGAGTGAGCTTAGAAGATATTGTGTAAAATGGTGTGAAGAAAATGAGCAAATTTGACATCTATTTATAGAAAAAAGTGCGCCATACTTATGACATGGGCGGATCGCGCCCAAGCGACAATGCTCCTCTCATTTGCTGCCATGTGTATGGCTGCTGTTGGTCCATGTCGATGACACATCATCATGTTGGTGGAAGATCCGACCTTCTCTTTGCTACGTGTCGAAAAATCACATCTCTCTCATACGAGCCCCGTTTTCGACGTTTTTTATATACACACATAGGTAATTCTGAGTACTACAACCTTCCTTTAGGTCCCAACAGCTAATTCTCAGTCTATTTTAAATTCATATTTTATAGAGTTTACACTGTTAAAGTTCATGCAAAAATCATAACTCCTACATCCAAACTTCGTCCTCGACTGTCTTTATATCGACGGATTCGTACTTACGAGATCTTCAACTCTCGTTTACATCGTTTTGGCTAACAATCAATCGGTTTTACTTTTGATTTCTGTGTCAGACAATCCTGCACCAAAACTTCAAAAAATCATAAGTTTTTCATACGAAGTCACATTTAGGCGTTATTTATATGCATGCTGTCGGAATTACGATTACTATGACTTTCATTTAGATCACTTAGGATAACAAGCAACCTGTCTCCGTTTCATATTTTACGGCACACTTTGTCGTATAAGGCTGAACGCGAAACTTCGAAAATCGTAACTTCTTCATACGAAGTTAGATTTGGGCATTTTTTAATACCCATAGAATCCTCATCGCGACTACTACAACTTTCATCAAGACTATTTTATCTTAATAACGTATTTCATTAAATTTATAATAATAATATTTTATACAAATATTATAAGTCCATAATATTTGTCCATAAAACATATACGCAACATATAAATATTATTTATATAATTTATTAATCCTTAAAATGTCTAGCCCGAATTTACGGACGTTACAATTACCTCCCTAAGGATGATTACGTCCCGAAATCATACAACATCAAAACAACTCCGAATAATGATCCTTTAAGTCGCATCTCTATCCTAAGTAATGATAGTCTCTGTACCATGCTCTCAAAGTACTATATAATCTCATTTTATTGTGTAATACTCATCATAATATTATAGGTTCTTTTATGACAACTTATTAGCTTGTTGACCTTGTTTCATCATTGAAACATCAACTATGTCCTTTAAGAATTTAATATAACCAAACAACACTTCTTCAATGAATTTCCCCACACAACTCTCCCTTTATCACTAAAGGTTAAAGGACAAAGGTTTACTAACTTAACTGTTTCGTATCCCCTTTGGGTTTCGACTTTGTCGTACTATAATAGTTTTTGCATCATCACCAACATAAGAGTTCTCAAGAAAAATCAAAGAATAATAAAAACTTTTACTCATTCATGATAATGATATGAAAACATTATCTATAGACCAATTCCTCGTATGTGTAATGCCTATAAAGACATACTTTTATTATTCGGTCAATTATAACTTAAATCACATTGTAGTTATATACGATCCTGAGACACTTGATAATAAGATCTAAGATAAGACCGTTTCATTTACTCATAGGTAAAAGTTTAAAATTCTCTCACGATGTTTAATGCTGTCTTTACTTTCCAACCAAAACATCCATTCCTCATAACAAAAATAGAAGCTAATAACTCTCTTATCTTATTGTGCTGAAACTTTCCTGGATCCTGACGTCAAATTTGAAGTCGAGTGCCTTTTACACTTTTGCATCAATGGTTGTGTCTCACCTACTTGGGTTCGGACGTCCGCATGCTGCTATCTATAATCACAATGGGGTGGTACTCGAGTCGACAAAGAGGGTAATGCGTTTGCGGACTAGTTGGTAATACTCTATAACTATGGATCTGTTGAATTTTACCAAAATACCCTAAAATTTGATTTAAAGATAGTCCGCAAAGGGCAAAGGCCCTCTAGAGGCTAAAGAGATAGTTTTGAAATGGTGACAAAAGAAAATTAAATAAGATTTAAATTTGTTTTGTTGTGTGATAATGATTAGCATCTTTTTGTTAAATAAATTTCAAACAACATTTATTTGATAGATCTATTTTAAAATTTTAATTTAACGTACAACACTCTATATTTATTTATTTATTTTGTTAATAACCCTTAATAAGATATTATACTTATTCGCAATCATTCATTGTGAAAATTTTGAGGGCAAAAAATATAATGTTTCGACATTTCGGTAACTTAGCGTAATTCGAGGTAGAAATTCGACGGCGAGCCGTCGCGTGCCAGTGCTTCAAAACCCCTGAACCAATCATATCACGACAACTGTCCCCACTTTTTCCCAAACATTTTTCAATAAAATCTTTTACCGCGGGAAACACGTTTCACTTTCACCCCCTTTTTTCCGGCAAAAATATTCCCTCTTAAACTTCAATTATCAACTCAACCCGCCAGCGCATTCTAGCAAACAGCCACCACCTCTCACTATCATGCGCCTCCCTTCGCGCACTAACTCAACATTTCAAAAACGAGCCCAATGACTATACACTCCAGCGCATTTTACCATCAATCACTTCATTACCATATCAAAAGCTTTTTAAGCCCTAAAAGGTAACAATACAAACATTTGCAGAAAGCTTAAAAAAGCAGCCATTAATGGCGTATCAATCAAGAACTCGAAAAAGGGTCAATGCATTGCGTCGTGCTCCTGACGGCAGTGCCTTTCAAACTTGGTATTCATCCCCCTTTCTTTCTATCTCCATGACTCTATTTATCTATATATAGCTACATACGTAAATAGGGTTTTGTCAAGGGTTTATGTTAAAATTTTATGATGGTTTAATTCGCAGTGAAAGTTGTGGAGTTTCGGTAGCGATTGTACTGGTGGATATGCATGATTGTGAATCGAAAAATGATGTAAAGAGATCGAAAGGAGTAAAGGGGGAACATAAACCTCTGATTTGGGAAGAACTAGAACAGAGGTTTCAAGATCAACCCAGATCGGAATTTCGATTCTTCATGTAATCATTTTCTTTTATTTTGAGTTTTTGATCTTCAATATTTTGAGGGTTTATTCTATGATTTGAGTTAAAGAGTATGGACTTTTGTAGGGAAAGCTTTGCGAAGAACTGTCACGCTAAAAATCTTGTTGAAATTGAACAAAAAGGGTTTGAAACGTGGAAAAATATGTCCTCACAGGTACTAATTTTGTGAAATTTGAGTAATTTGTAATGGATTTTGTTGTGATATTTGATCAGAAATCTGTTTTCTATTTTCCTTTAGGAAAAACTTCCATATGAACTTGAAGCTAAGAAGGTGAACGATGCATATTTCGAAAAGCTACTTAAAGAATCCGAGGATCACATGTTTTCGTGTGTAAGTGTTAATTGTTATACAAAAACCACATTTTTTTTGTTTGCTTTTAAAAAAAATATTTATTTATGGCTTGAAAACATTGATGAAGTAATGCTTTTTGAGTAGGTTGATGAGGAGGTAGATTCTGCAGAAGTTGGGAAATTTGACAAGGTTTGTTTTTGTTTATTCTAATGTTGTGTTAATAAAACTATAGGTTTGACCTATTAAATCGTTATATTTGACTTTTCATTGTAAAAACAAACCATCTTTCTTATGTAACAAACTATTTGAACATATCAAATAGTTTGCTACCATTTATGACGTTACGTTTTTGGAAATACACTGGATTACATTGAGTATGATTGTTTTGTTTACATTTTCACAATTTATTTAAAATCTCAATTTTGGAAACCACAATGTTTTTAATTCGGTATTTCATAAAATCGGATGGTATGTTTGCTAATTGCATCTTTCTTGATCTAAATTTTATTATTTTACAGATGAATGGATCTTACGATGATGATGTTACTTATGATTCTTATGATTCTGATTACGAAGGTGAGAAGTTTAATTTTTTTTTTTTATAACAAGCATTAAAAATGTTACATGGGTGCATGATATGATTTTACAAGATTACCCTTTCTGAAAGCAAGACTACTTATTTTCAGGGAATGGATTTGGTTTTTGGTAGTAATGACTAATGGTGGGGCCCTTTGGGAAGAGAAGGCAAGTCAATTTGGCTAATTGTATAGTATAAATCAAGGTGTTTTATCCTTTTGATGTAATTAAACTAGGAAAATTTGGTCATTTTCAGTGTAATTATGGAATGTTTTTGTGTTCTTGTTGAGGTTGATTACTTGTTTTTGGATGGAAATTAGCATCACGGTTGGCCAAACTTTGCAAAGACACTTGGTTTGGCTAAATTGGCCAAGTTTGCTTCAATTTAGTTTCACAATTTGGCTAGATCAATGTTCAAAATGAAAATATACTACAAGAGTTAAAAAAAAAGAGCAATATAACCATTAAAAATTTAATTTATTAAAACTTAAATTGAGTCAAAGCATTAAAACATAGAGTTATTCCCTAAAAATAAAATGTGAGTGCCTTTGTTACCATATGACCACTTTTTCATTTTTTTAAACGGTTATTATTTATAAGAAATCAAAAGTTAGTAAAACGTAAAACCAAGCAAGAAACCAGTAAAAAAAAACATAAAGTGTAATAATGACAAACCATCAAATGGATCAGTTAGATGGAGATATAGTTTTAACAAAATAAAATATAAGTAATTTTAAAAGTGTAATTGAAAATATATATATATATATATATATATATATATATTTTTTCAAAAATAACTATTTTGTCTGGAATAAAACATTCCGGATAAAGAAAAAACATTTTTTTGACTAACTTTGAAATAACATTCCAGATTCTGGACTAAAATTCCGGAAAAATTCCGGAATATGAATAGTATTCCGGAATGTTTAATTCCAGAGTATTGTTCATATTCTGGACTAAAATTTTGGATTTCGAAAAAAAAACCTCTGGAATTTTAAGAACAAATTCAAAATTCGAAGAATAATTCCGGAATTTCAAGAAAAAATCATTTTTTTTAATTTAACATAAAATTAAGCAAACATAATAATATGAACTATATACAATGAGTGCATAAAATTAGACATTTAATTGAAATACGATGACATTAAACATTATGAAATGTTGCATTCGAAATCCAAAAAAAAAACAAAATAATTTATTTGAAAATAATAACAAAAAAAAAACTGAAAAAAGATAAAGAGTACTAAGCAATATACAACAATTCCCGTGAAAGTGGCTGTTTTTCAAAAACTACAAAAATATGATTATCTTTTTTGAAGACCTTGTTTAGTTTATAATAGTCAGTTTACTTAATTTCTCTAAAATATATATGTAATAGTAAATAAGATCAAAGAGTTTATATATATATATATATATATATATATATAGTAGGTAAGTTTCGAGGCCCGTGCTTAGCACGGCCCAATAAATCCTCATGGGTTTACAATATCTAAAGAGCATATTGTCTAATACATAATTTTATACATATGGAACTCATGGTAGCTTTGAAAATCTCAAAATCTTAAACTTTAGAGGTGTGATTCAAAGTCAACACAATCTTAAAAGTTCGGCAAATGCATCTTGGCTCTCTGATCAGTGTTATTTGGAATCCCCATGAAAAGAGTAAAAACGAATTCTATTTACAGTATAATCGATCTTACAAGTTGATTGTTGGTGCCAAACTTGTAAGTTGGTACCATTTCCCCCATTTATTCCCATACCTGGTAAAAATTTCAAATAATCTGGAGATAAAAGTTAAAAGATTTAAGAGTGGAAAAAAAAATATGTCAATGTGACTTGTGATGAACCTGAACAGGTAGCACCTGAGAGTAGATGTTGTAACTATTAAAATCAACCACATGCATAGAATTAGAACATGAAGCATTTTAAAAGTTCAAACTGAAAAAGACAAAGAAGTAACACATCCAGATAACAAAGGGGCAATAAAACATATTGTTTTAGCTACTGACTATTAATAAACATTATCACAATAAACATTAAGAAATAATAGTTCAATAGCAAATTACTAAAATGGCGAAGCTTTATACTTTTCTGTCTTCAGACCTTGGACATTAATAGTTGAAGAAAAGTATAAATGTTTAAGTAGCTAAAGCAAGGAGTAGGAATCCTAGTTTATGGATCAACATTAGTGGAAATATGGTCATTTTACTATACACAGGGAGTGGGATCGGGAGATAATTTAAAAGAAGTCGAGAAGATCAGGCTGATCATTAGAGTAAAATAGCAATTAATAATCGTTTCCTTTTTTCCTTAGGTTCTTTGACACAGGTCTGTGTGAACGTATCATATATTCATATGTCAACACCATATTACAAAGACAAAAGATAACTACAGATCTTACATGAACAAATGAACTTTACTTTTATATTATTGTAACATAATTGAAACCTAAGATGATTCTTTCAAAAACAAATTACAAAAACAATAAGGGTAATAGGATTCTTTTTTATAAACATTAAGCATCAAAAAAGTTAGCATACCCTACAATCTAAGAAAATATTGTAATTTGTGGCTGTGGTGGAATGTCTTGACCTTGATCCATCTTAAACCTAAATAATAAAAGAAACTAATGTACTAATTATAGACTTATAGAAATATTTCTTTCAGTTCAAGCATTTAATCAAACTCTGCAAAAAAAAAATTAGTATATCTAAGAAAATGATAAATTTAACGAAGAAGAGTCACCTGGTGGTCATGCACTTAATCCCAACTTCTAACAAAAAAAGAAAAAGAAATAAATTTAAATGAAATAACAAAGCACTCTTTGTATCAATTGTCACTTTTAGGGTTTCAAAACTCAAGAAAGAAGCATAATTTGCCTAATAATGGATCGTAGAAAGCAAACCAAATAAATGATTGAAATCAAATTGAAATGAATTAATGAAGCAAACACATTTCATATCAAATTTTCAAGCACATGTAACCTCGGGAGTTTCTACATCCAACGAAATAGCAAATACCTGCAACTAAAGGGTATGGAAGATGAAGTTCCGTCTGAAGATTTGGTAGAGCAATTATAAAATCACAGAATAATCTTGAATGAAATCAAAGAGCGTTTCAAAATTAAATCCATCTACACTATCCACATGCTTGCCCGTGATCGCACTTCATCCCTTCTTATATGATGGGGTTAAGATTATATAAAGAAACAGAACATCAAAGAAAACCGAAAATGGAACTTAGAATTAAGGAGATTGTTGATCAAATAAAGAGGCAAGTAGGAGGGGTTTTGTTTTCATAAAAGGAATTTTTTTTCTTTAGGATGATTAACAAATTGAAACTGAAGAAAGAATCAGTGGATGATAACAGAGGGTATCTACATTTCTTAGAAAATTACGTCGGTAAAGCAATTGGATCCAAATCGCATACTATCAACCTTCGCACATAACGTCGTATACGGGCAGTCCAACATGAGGCGGTAGGGAACGACATTGTGAATCGACGTTGATATACATTGCGTCGTTCATTTGTGATGTCCACGTGCCGTCCCTGAAACCCTTCAAACGTTCAAAAGGAGCCGCAAGAAAAATAGGTCTTTTATATATATATATATATATATATATATATATATATATATATATATATATATATATATATATATATATATATATATATAATATAGAGAGAGAGAGAGTTAGGTTATTTTGTTTTTACTAACTATTGTGTGCAAGAATGCACAGATCTGGACCATCGGATGAAATATAATCAAAGGTAATGATCTGAGGGTTTATGATAGTAGAATAGGATAACATGTACCATATAATCACACAAATTTCAGCATAAAGACATTTTAGTCAATTAACCTATATTAAAAAAGGAAATTTTCGGATTTTTAGGGATGATTAATTCCTTTATTTTTTAAAAATCTGAATATTTTAAATTAATTCAAATTTAAAAATCCGATTTTATTCTGTCAGAATGATAGAATGCCAACCATAAACTAGTAAATATATTTTTCGATTTTATTCTGTCAGAATGGCAGAATGTCAACCATAAACTAGTAAATACATTCTGAAAGAATACACAAATCAATTATTGAACTAATAATATAACAAATAATTACATTGTATGATTGTGATTCATTGAATAATAACAACATTCTGAAAGAAAAAAAAACATCAAAATCTAACAAAAACACTATTCTATTCTGAAAAAATATTATTTTTAAGCAACACTTTATACATTGTAGCATAACACATTCTAGTATAATACACTCTCGGTCTATATGTTTTCTTCCTTCTCCACATCAATGTTAGCCTCTTCAAAACCTAAATCCACAAAGAAAAGAGAATCAAGTTTCAAAAATTAAACAATTCAATACATTCTAATAGAATACATCAATAAATATTCTTACACAATAAACTATTCTTGCAGAATGGTTTTGAATATTCTTAAAGAATTTGTAACATTAAAAAAATCATTTGTTGGGGATTGAATGATTCAACTCCACTAATACAAAACACAAACCCTGAATTCTTTCAAAATCGCTATTTTACACCTGTTTATTGTTTTTTACATTCTAAATTAAAACCGAATGACATTAATACTTCCATGAAAAAAAGCCTTGAGCAAACTATATTTACAGACTTCAAAAACATATTACAGCCTTATTCTCCAATGGAGAAAGAAAAACACCCCTACATGGCGTGTTTATTAACAGGCTATTCATAAATATCATACAAATCAATCATATGCAACTCCATTCAAAACATTCTGTGTAGAAAAAGAATCAATGAATAATAATAAAGACTTACATGTGCATCAGATTTACTCATGCCTCAAAGCTCCCGATAATGCTGCTTTGTAAAGGCCTCATATTCACATGAATGTTCTCCTTGATAAAATCCTTCAACTCAATAAGATTTTCACTTGGGTCTTTTGGGAAGTACTGATTTGATTGAATTTTCGTGTTCCTTTTCTTGTCAAATGAATTAAACCCAAACACTCATTTGGGTTCTACCGATCACTGCCAAACATCTAAAAAAAACTAAGATACCTTCTGCGTTTGACCTCTAATCACCGAACAATCTATCCTCCAACCTTTCTTTTCCTTCCATCGATCCTTGCTGCCAAATCGTTCCCACCTGATGTCGCTGAAGTCCTGATTTGATTGAAACGATTCATTAAAAATGGAAGCTAGCAAGTAAAGATTAGCAAAAAGTGAGAAAAATCATATAATGTACCTTTTCCCAGTTCGGATTCAAGATTACATCCATGGTGATTGTACCTTCCAGGATTAAAATCAAGAAAATGAAGATAAGGTGGAGGCGTGAGGACCTTTGATAGAGCAGCGATGGTGGGGATCGTATTCATAAACTGAGATACCTTCTGCGTTTGACCTCTAATCACCGAACAATTTATCCTCCAACCTTTCTTTTCCTTCTGTCGATCCTTGCTGCCAAATCATTCCCACCTGATGTCGCTGAAGTCCTGATTTGATTGAAACGATTCATCAAAAATGGAAGCTAGCAAGTAAAGATTGTGGAGGGGATGAGCTATTTCGATTGGAGAAAGGATGCAAAGAGGAACACAAGCCCTAGGTTGAAACAGAGTGGTCGTTCGATGCAGGCGAAAAAGAGGGTGATATCTAGGGTTTTAAACTGATTTCCATTATTTAAAGGAGGCATTAAATGATTTATTATTTTTACCATAATTAGATATTCTAAGTTTACCATTATACCCTTTTTTAATTTATTTAATGATTTATTATTTCCTGAAATCTCATTGGTGCATACATGCACACAATAGTTGGTAAAAACATTTGAACCTAACTCTCTCTCTCTCTCTCTCTCTCTCTATATATATATATATATATATATATATATATATATATATATATATATATATATATACTAGGTTAAAACCCGTGGAACCCACGAGTGTTAACGTTAAATAGAATTAAAAAATTAAATTATGTAATAAAATAATATACGGTTAATTTAGAAAACTTATGAATTGTAATATTGTATTTTTTTAATAACTTTGTGATTTGTAATTATTTAATTAAACACTAATTTAGCGAGATTAATAGAAATTGTTGTTATATTCATCAGTTTTTTTCAACCCAATTTTTGCAAAAAGAAAATAAATCAACCCAACTTGTGCAAAACTCGTTTTAGAAACGCTAAAAGAATATGTAAACATATTGATGAGTTATCACGACTTGATTTAGACCGACAATTATCTACAATTAGATAAAGAAATGGATTTCCAAATTAGCTTCTTAGTTCTAAGACATGATTGAAACAACGCCCAATATAATGATAGAGAAACTAAGACCGATAATAATGTAGTTACATACATATATTTACATACTTGTATCCAAGTTTAGCAATACCAGCAAAAATGATAACATAACCTGTCAAACATCTTAATCAAGAGTTAAGAGAAGATATATATTTAAACCCGTTGAAACCACGGTTAAGAAATAAAGACATTATTGATAATTTCAAATCGTAATTACTAATCAATGATTTGCATAAATTTATTATTTTACATAGAGGCTTTGTGTAAATTTATAATAATTAGTTAAAATTAATATATACACCGGTATTAATATCCGATCGTCGTTCGTATGTGTAGATATTTGATAAAATGATGATTTTGTACAATTCAATAAAAATTGAATTAATAGAAACATGTTCCATTTTTTTGTCATTTTTTCATATTCGGACCATTTGTTAAAATGAAATTTACAATATATAACAACCAAAATTGTAAAGTTGGTCTATAATAGCAACCATCTTTGTAGAAATGGGTTGTGATAACAACTTGTTCCATTTTTTTTACTTCATTTTTTTCAGATTTGGTTCTTTGTTAACATGAAAATTTTACAATAAATAGCAACCAAGACTGTAAAGTTGGTCTATAATAGCAACCAACTTTGTAGAAATAGGTTGTGATAAGAACTTGTTTCATTTTTTTGTCATTTTTCGGATTTGGTCGTTTGTTACATGAAATTTTACAATAAATAGCAACCAAGATTTAAAAGTTAGTCTGTTATAGCAACCACCTTTATAGAAATAGGCTGTGAAGAGAACTTGTTCTATTTTTGCTTTTTTTTTTCTAGATTTGCTTTTTTTACATGAAATTTGACGACAAATAGAAACCAATAATTATTAATTATTTTATTGGATGATTTTCTTTAAAATAAAATTTTGTAACTTTAGGTCCAGTTATCACTTTTTCATAAGGTTTCAACTTTCTACCCGTCAACAAAGGTACAAGCTCTGCGAGCTTTTTCTTCTTAACTAAGATTGATATCTTTAAAGAGAGTACCTTCTTCATATCGCCTAAAGCATGTTTGCTACTGTTTCTGAAGACACGATGCAATATTATCACAACTTCAGCAAAAATGATAAGACTATAAATAATGTAATTTGAGACATTTTACCATGACGTTGCTTCTTCTCCAGTTTTAGTTCATGAGCATCTGGTAATTACAATTAAAAAATGTTAGTAAATTTATACTTTGTATTGTAGCTCTCTTATAGACACTTGAATGAAAGTTCATTGTAAGTGCTTCTGTTATGCTATAAAACTCCATAAATATGAATATAAGTGCTTTATTTTATAGTTGTTAATAAAGATAATCCAATAAATATGTTAGGACCAAAATATATTTACGTAGAGATTGTAGCAAGGGCTATATGTAAAAGAGGCACCAACAAAGAATAATTAAGGGGTGTTTGGGATTCCTTTTCAAGGGGAAAAGTCCTTTTTGTAAAAGGACTTTTTATAAATGACTTTTTCAAAAGATGTTGTTTAAAAAGTGTTTGAGATTTCTTTTACTTTTCCAGCCTCAAAAGTTCAAAAAGATACAAAAAGTCACGGATGTGTGACTTTTGCAAATGCTAGTTTTTATGCTTTGGTAAAAGTTGGTTTTAAAAGTCCTTTTCCATTTGCCAAACAACTTTTGGATTTTTCTAACTTTTTGGAAAAGTTAAAAGTCAAAAAGTTGATTTAAAAGGAAAAACAAACACCCCCTTAATATCAAAGAAAGGGATTAAAGCATAGGACTCTATAGGCCACATTGTTTCACTAACTTCACCAATTTCAATATCCAAAAATGTAGATGTCATACCAGCTAGGTCTACCCTCAATAGTTTCAAGTTAAATATAAACCTAAAAATAAGTAAATATTGTTGATCTTATGGGTAGTTCTTCATTTATTTCAGATTTCAACAAGTTTATTCTTTGATCTGTAGGCTTAATAATCATACTAAAAAATATTTAACTAACAAAAATAATCACAAAATACCTAAGAAAGAGAAACATTTTCACAACAAAGCCCAAATTCAAGACAAACTTTAACCAAAAAAATAGAAATAGAAAAAGAAATCAAAAAGATGCAATAGATTTAAACCAAAAAATTAAACATATTCATAGTTCAAATACTCAAAATCACACAAAACATCCACCACAAAACTACTTACCGGAACAACTATAAGTCATAGTTTTACTCGTCATCTTGGATACTCAACCTCTCGAACTTATTAGTAACCACAATATCCAACTGTGCTGCTTTTCCCACTATATCCTTCCTGTTTCTTGTAGATACATTGTATGCAATTTCAGCACAATATGTCCTAAATCAAATCAATATACTTACATATATCATTAATAAGGGTATCACGAGGACTTCTAATTCTTTTGCATTTGAACAATAAACTTTTATTCCAAGATACGAAGATCCTTGCTCTTTTTGTAGATCATTTGCTTCAATTACTCCTGTTAGATTCACATAATTAAACAACAAAATATAGATGAAAATAACCAATCAACACCTGTGGTTCTTCAATTGGTCATCTAAAGTTCAAAATCGTTAAAGGCGATTTAAAAACATAATCAGTTTCAACAAAAATAAGAAAACATAAATCCAGAAAATCGAAATCGAACTCCGATAAATGGAAAATAAAATTTTTCAATAGGAAAAGCTTGATGCATTTACCTTGTATTTTCGTAAAGTTACTTTCTTCAAAGAAACCCTAAATCATGTGGATGAGCCGTTAATCAGAGAAGAGGGATTGCAATGCAGAGACTGAATAGATTGTCAGAGTGGTGGAGGCATCACGAATGGGTTAAAAGAAACAACTGATTCCAATGAAGGATATCCATATCATTTTATGCGATTTCAAAGAGGGAAATACATACCTTTATCCCTAATTTTCTGCAGAAATAGAGAGAATGAAGAATAAAATAGGAAACAATTACCTACATGATTTCGTGGATTTATCCGAATATTACTAATCAACACACAAATCTGGGTGATTGAGGAGCGAATTTCTTGGATTGAAGTTGGAAAATTTGATCTGTTTCCAGCTTTGTGTGTGAAACCACTCATACACTTTCTGATTTTTCATAACTACCATCGTCTTCGTCCCTATCTTCTGCAATGCTCGACTGAATCGGATCTCAAGTTTGTAATCAATTTAGAGATTAAATCTCGGCTCCTGCTCAATATACAACAAAAAATTTAACAAAAAAATTAGCGTTAAAATCAATGGGTATGGAATTGTGAGTGTATAAATACAGAGATTGATAAATAATTTTGGAAACGATTCACAACAATCCCTGGAATTTAGGAGCTGATTTATCGCAGAGAAGTTGAAAACTTTTAATTGTTTCCAACATCAGAGTGAGACGGATGTGGTTTAAGAGGCAGAAAGGGGCATTTTTGGAACTTCACATAGAAATTATGAGCGGGAAAATTCGTTGGAGGGGGGCTCATTGACTGCCACGTGGGGAAAATGGCTTTATTTATTAGATTAGGGGATATATATATATATATATATATATATATATATATATATATATATATATATATATATATATATATATATATATATAATTTGTATGATGTATTGGGCCCTTATTATAGACCTACACTTACTATTAGACTTTGCCCAAGAATCTAGTTTTGGACCATGCCCGAACCGGGCTTTAAGTAAACTTAAAAACTGAGATACAAGGACCACACTGTTTAAACTTATGAATTAGTCTTTGATTTGGCCATGTCAAGAGCCCAGTCAATGAGAGCCTTAGGTCAAACTTCGTTTATTTCTTGTTCGATCTTGATTTTTTTTGAACTTCTAATCTAATCCGAAACAACATTAAGGTTTGAACGAAACTTGAACCTCAATGGAAGGACACCTTTTCCAACTCCTGATACTCCTAACGTTGCATGCATTTCAAGCTATTTGATTTAGAATATTACCTAGGTTTCAAGTAAGGAAGAGCTACTACAATATATTATAATATATCACGACATCTTTTAAATATATTGATAAAGGGAAAAATAATTTTGTAGGTTAATCAACTATAATTTTGTATACATTTAGTAATTTTCTTATTTTTGTATATGATTTATCATTACCTCGCGTTTGTTGTTCATTAAATACTGTTTTGACCGGTTATTACAGGTCTAGCCGGTTTACCTTTAAAAAAACAATTAAACTCACATTTGTTGTTAAAGAAAACACCATTAAACTAATAGTTTTGTACACAATTTACCATAAAACTAACTTATTACACATTTAATAACTTTCATCTTTTCCAACCATTATCAATTTTCTATTTATCTTCTCCGACCAACACAATTCCAAAGAAAAAAGGAAACATTACTTTTACATGCTGATTTAAAAAAAAACATTGCAAATCTCATAATCACCTTATTTTCCAAACCGGTGAAAACACCCCCTCCCCTCTCCTCCCCTTACTCCTGGAACTACTCACATATTTCCTTACTCCTATCTTTCTCCTATTACTTTATGAAAACAACCCTATCCCCAAGGCCGATCCCGAGATTTCGGAGGCCCGGGGCAATTTAGTAAAAATAGACCCTAAAAATAAATTGAAAAAAAAACAAAGCAACTTCTGATTTCATCACATAATATACTTTCAAGACAAAATTACACAAAAATATACTTGCTTCAGGGTTTTTAATTCTAGGAGGCATGTTAATTTCTAAATTTTGAACTTAAAATGAACTTTGCACTTGAGTCTTAAGCAACCTAACGAGACTCTGAATGTAAAATTCTGGATTAGAGACAAATACTTTCGAAATTAGTCAATTAAAATTAGAGCCATTGAATCAGAAACAGAAAGACAGAAAGTTAGAACAAAAACATACCTGATTTAGTAATTTTAAAAGATATTCAAGTTGAATTATAATCAAGATTCACGAAGATTAGAAGAGTCGAAGATAAGAACCGATGATTGTGATGTTTGAAGGCCGGAGAGTGAAGACAAGAACCGATAACAAGGTTTCTAAATTTTGGATTGCGATTGTGATTCTTAAATACGAATGAGAGTATGCGACATTGAGACTGAGACTGTTACCAATTAGTTACTCACCAAGGATATGAATCATTGCCATTAATTTTACGCGTATCACCAATTGGCAATTGATCTTCGAGAAAGTCAAACCAAAATCACACTTTCCAAATACGTGGAGTCGACAACATTTATTAACCTAAAGAGACACCTTTGAAGTGGATAAAAAATTTGGGCCCATAGGTAAGAATGGGCCTTGTTCATAAACACCTTTTGAACCCCCCTTGGGTCGGCCCTACCTATCCCCACATCTCTTTCTCGGTGCTTTCTTCTTGAACTGTGCGACACCAATAACCACATCCGTTCAAGGATTTCAGATTAGTTTATTGGTGGTGATGGTAAATGGTGGAGATGGGTGGTTGTTGTGGCGAATTGTGGTGATAGAAGATGGTGTTTGTTGTTAGAGATGGATGATGTTTTTGAGTACCTAAACGTATATACCTTCTAGGGTATATTCATTTTTCTCATATATATATATATATATATATATATATATATATATATATATATATATGTTATGAATTAAGCGTAATTAATGTAACTATAAATCAAACCAAACTAGTAAACTTTGATAAGAACTTTAATTGAGAAGAAAGAATATTTAGAGAGAATATGAAAGTTATATCTCTTATAACTTTTGGTGTATTTCATTCTTTACAATGGAGGGGTATTTATACTACAAATTTTACTAACATATAATTGTAACTAGTTAGACATGTTGACAAATTTACCATGCACAAATTATTATGTCATCCACCAATTATTTACAACACCACCAATTATTTACAACACTCCCCCTTGGATGACATCATTTTAGCATTCAACTTTGACGTACTGCCTCATTAAAAACCTTGCTAAAGAAAACCCAGTGGGAAAAAAACTTTAGCGAAGGGAAAAAGAGTGCAGTGTATAGTTGACTCCCCCTTATTTAGACATCCGTCACATTATATTCTATGCACATGTCGCATTCCGATGCCATGGATATGTTTCCTGAAGATTGCAGTAGGAAGTGCCTTCGTAAAAAGGTCTGCTGCATTGGTACTGGATTGAACATATTTGATTTCAACTTGATGGTTCTTTATAAGCTCTTGAGTGTACTCAAAAAACTTTGGAGGTATATGTTTTGTCCTGTCGCTCTTGATATATCCCTCTTTCATTTGAGTGACACATGCTGAGTTATCTTCATAAATTAAAGTTGGACATATATCCTTTTCAAGTCCACATGAAGTTAAAACTAGTTGTGTCATCGATCTTAACCATGTACATTCTCTACTAGCTTCATTTAGTGCAATTACTTCAGCATGATTTGAGGATGTGGCAAAAAGTGTTTGCTTTTGAGAACGCCAGGAAATTGCAGTACCTCCATTCATGAATACATATCCAGTTTGAGATCTAGCTTTATGAGGATCAGACAAATAACCTGCATCTGCATAACCAATCAAGCCTTGTTTTGAATTGTTAGGGTAAAATAACCCTAAATCACTAGTTCCTCGAAGGTATCGAAAAATATGTTTGATTCCATTCCAATGTCTTTTTGTTGGGGCTGAACTAAATCTTGCTAGCAAGTTTACAGCGAAAGAAATGTCAGGTCTAGTACAATTGGTAAGATACATAAGAGCTCCAATTGCATTTAGATATGGTACTTCTGAACCAAGAACTTCTTCATTTTCTTCGCATGGACGAAATGGATCCTTGTCAATATTTAATGATCTAACAACCATTGGATTGCTTAAAGGATTTGAATTTTCCATATTGAAACGTTTCAAGACTCTTTCTGTGTAATTTGATTGATGCACAAGTATTCCGTTAGGCATATGCTCAATCTGTAAACCAAGACAATATTTGGTTTTTCCAAGATCTTTCATTTCAAATTCTTTCTTTAAAAGTTCAATCACTTCAAGGATTTCTTTATTCGTTCCAATGATGTTCAGATCATCAACATAGACTGCTATGATCACATATCCAGATGTTGTTTTCTTAATAAATACACATGGACAAATAGTGTTATTTTTATAACCTTTACTTGTCAAATAATCGCTTAAACGATTGTACCACATGCGCCCAGATTGCTTTAACCCATACAAAGATCTTTGTAATTTTATAGAATACATTTCTTTGGGTTTTGCACTTAACGCTTCAGGCATTTTAAATCCTTCAGGGATTTTCATATAGATATCACTATCAAGTGATCCATACAAGTAAGCTGTAACAACATCCATAAGACGCATCTCTAAATTTTTAGATACTGCCAAGCTGATTAAATATCTGAAAGTGGTTGCATCCATTACCGGTGAATAAGTTTCTTCATAATCAATTCCAGGTCTTGAGAGAAACCTTGAGCAACAAGCCTGGCCTTGTATCTTACAATTTCGTCTTTCTTATTTCTTTTTCGTACGAAGATCCATCTACATCCTAATGGTTTCACAACTTCAGTTGTGAGGATAATGTTCCCAAAAACCTTTCTCTTGTTAAGAGAATTTAATTCAACTTGCATAGCTTCCTTCCATTTAGCCCAATCATTTCTTCTTTGACATTCAATGACAGATTGTGGTTCGGGATCATCATTCATAATATCACATGCAACTGAATAAGAAAATATTGCACCTATATTGTCAGTTTCATTTTGGTCACATATTCTATTTGTCTGACCATAATTTAATGCATCATCCTCCTTTCCTGGGGGAATTTGAATAATTCGTGTTTCTCCAGGAACACTTTTTACCGTGATCTAGTGCATTTTCTGCTCCTCTTCTTTTTCGTGGGTTCTTATCCTTAGAACCAAATGGCCTTCCACGCTTCAGGCGTGTTTTAGACTCTTGAGTGACTTTATCATCAGATTGTCCATGTGGAATGTCAATTCGAGCTGGAACATTGACAGCTGGTATATATGATTTAGTCACCCTTTTTGTGTCAATAAAAGCATCAGGTAATTAATTTGCCATTTCTTGGAAATGCATTATCTTTTGAACTTCCATGTCACATTGCTTTGTGCGAGGGTCAAGATATGAT